CACCATTATCAATTGGGACAGTCTTGGAGATAGCCGTTCTTGGTTAAAGCTTCTCTTATAAAAGATTCAATATCTGCAAAATATGGTATTTTGATGAGGCATATACCTTCTTGCTTACATATATCCCGCTTTTTTTGATCACATTTCCTTTGCTCGCTCAAATCTTGTCCACTTTTATGAAACATTGGATTAAAAGCATAGTGATGCTGACCATTAAATTCGAAGGCCAGTTTTAATTCCTCATTGTATCCATTGAAGTGCATCCCTTGTAAAAATTTCGGTGCACAGGTGGAAACTTTTTTCCTAACAGATCTTCAAATATATACCTTGATGTATGTTCTCCTTTCGAATGAGGACATAGGGGGCACCAGTCATATCTCTTTGTAATAACTTCAATTGGTCTCTCCCATAAGTGATTTCTATTGCATGAAAATAAGAAAGTTGTAGGACCAGTTTGGATGTGAACTTTTCCTCTGCGTTTTTCAGCGTAAGTTTGAGCTTCGGTAAGTTTCATCATGTTTATACTTATGTATATATATTTAGGAAAAAAATCACGTGCGCGTTTAGAAAAAACACCGATCACTCTGCCAAGAATAAAAAATTTCAAAGATATAGTTAAACTAGTATCAGAATGAAATATCATTATATATACCACGTCGACAAAATCAAGCCACCGAGAATATCTTTAGACAATATAGATGCTCCTAAGTGGCCCTTTTATATTGTGGTGAGTGGGAGATCAAACACTGGTAAGACTAATATGCTTCTAAACCTTTTTCTTGGGGATAAGTACTATGATCTGAAAGAAGGAAAAAAGAGAATTGGTGAACGACACATATGTTGTAATGATCTTATATTAGTGGGACACTATATTAACGAGCCCAAATATCAATTAGTTCGGAACTTCTATAAGAAAATAGCAGATCGTTCAAAACCATATTATGAAGATGTTACTTTTACTGCACTTACGCCTGATAAAATTCCAGATCTGAAACAGTTTAAAAATCAAAAAAGACGTAGAGTATTTATTTTTGAGGATGTGTGTACTGAATCTCCAGTGATTCAAAATCGTATCATTCCATTTTTTAATAGAGGACGACATAACAATATCTCTGCTATTTATATTTCACATAAATTTACTCAAGTTCCAAAAATCATCCGTGAGAATGCAACGCATCTTGTATTATTTAATGGCGGAGGATCCACAGAAGATATTGCAAGAATTATAAGACAATACATAGAGGAGGATCCATGTAAAGCCTCCAGAGTCATTAATAATTATTTGCAGAATGGAGAGTTTATAGTTTTTGACACTACTGTACCAATTTCTGATCCTATGTCCATTAGAATCGGTTGGATGAATCCTCTAAACCTGGAAAAAGAGATCAAGTTATTGACTGCATAATAAAGAAAATAAATTATGATCGAGATTTTTTAGTGAAGCTAACTCCGCTAAGCTTGAATAACTTATCTTTATCCTCTGCAATTGTAACTTTTTT